CCTCGTCGTTTTTTTGTAGTCGAGATCATCATCATTGCCACCACCGTCGCCATCATCATCAGCACTACCATCAGCACCATCATCGTCATCATCTCCTCATTCGTCACCCCCCTCGCTCCTCATCATTCCCCCTTCTCATCCCATGCATCTCCTCCTGCTCCTTCTCCTTGCGTTAACTTCCGCAGCGAATGACGACGACGAGTGCAGATGCGTCTTAACAATGAATTGACACGCTTCCCAAAGGGCCCAGGACGGCCCAAGAGGGCCCTTAGACGGCACAGAACGGACCACAAACTGCTAAAGGGCGCCCTGACCTGCTGAGGAACGCTAGAATCTGCCAAAGAGCGCCTTACAAGCTGCCAAAGGGGCACCGTGCATGTATACAAGCTGGAAGAAACGCCTTGCAATCTGCCAGGGGTCGCCTTGGAAACTGCCAATGGGCGCGTTAAAAACTGCTAAGGGTCGTTTACGCATTGCAAAGGAGCGCCTTAGAAACTGCAGAGAAACGCTTTGAAAACTGCTCAGGAACGCCTTGAAAACTGCAAAGGCGCGCGATTGAAAGCTGCCAAGGAGTGCTTGGCGGATGCGGAGGCGGAGGAGGAGGAGGAGGAGGAGGAGGAGGAAAAAGAGGAGGAGGCGGAGGCGGATGCGGAGGCGGAGGCAGAGGTGGAGGCGGAGGCGGAGGCGGAGGCGGAGGAGGAGGAGGAGGACGTGGAGGAGGAGGAACAGGAGCAGGAACAGGAGCAGGAGCAGGAGCACGTGGAGGAGGCGGAGGAGGAGGAGGAAGGGGAGGAGGAGGAGGAGGAGGAAGACGAGGAGGAGGAGGAGGAGGAGGCCGAGGCGGAGGAGGAGGAGGAGGAGGAGGAATAATATTAATAAGTCTACCAATAAGAATACTGACAACAACACTAATAATAATACTAAGAAGAAACATAATAATACGAATACTAGTACTAACATGAAAACTACGAAGGACAATACTATGAATACCAAGAGGACAACTAATACGAGTAATACGAACCATAATAATGACCATACACAAACTAATACCAATAAATTTGGTAATAATCGCAACACCTAGTAGTACTATTATGTAGCAACTATGGCTTATACTACTACTAATACTACTACTACTAATGATCTTACATTTTTTAATGACACTGGCACGAATAATGGTAACCGTAGTAGTAATATTACAAATGCTAGCAATGACATTAATACTATGAGTAATCCGGCTAATGATACTGAGACTAATAATGCAAATCATACTGATAGTAATATGAATGGGAAGAGTGTTGGGACGAATCATAAACATAACAGTACAAATACTACTACTAACACTAACATTAATAATAATACTAATACTAATACTAATACTAATACTAATACTAATACTAATACTAATACTAATACTAATACTAATACTAATACTAATACTAATACGAGTACTAATACTGATACTAACACTGATAGTAATAGTAATACTAATACTAACACTAATACTAATAATACTACTAAACTTAATACTATTACTAAATACTAATACTATTACTAATGCTGATACTAATACTAATACCAATACTACTACTAATACTAATACTAATACTACTACTAATACTAATACTAATACTACTATTAATCCCAATATTAATACTACTTCTAATACTAATACTAATACGAATACTAATACTACTACGAATACTAATACTAATACTAATACTAATAGTACTACTAGTACTATTGCTAGTACTAATACTAGTACTGGTAGTAATACTAATACTAATACTAATACTAATACTAATACTAATACTAATACTAAAACTAATATCAATACTAATACTAATACTAATACTAATACTAATACTAATACTAATACTAATACTAATACTAATACTAATACTAATACTAATGCTAATGCTAATACTACTACTAATATTAATACTAATACTAATACTAATACGAATACTAATACAAATACTAATACTAATACTAATACTAATACTAATAGTAATACTAATACTAATACTAATACTAATACTAATACTAATACTAATACTAATACTAATACTGATAATACGGATAGCACTAATACTAATACCAGTAGTAGTACTAGAAAGACTACTACTAATAATAATATCAGGAACAATTAGAATACTCAAAATAGTCATCGTAATAATACGGGCAATAATAGTAATAATGAGAAGACGAATGCTAAGGAGGAAAGACGAGGAGTAGAAGGAGGACCAGGAGCAGGAGCAGGAGCCGTAGCCCGAACAGGAGCGGGAGCAGGAGCAGGAGCATGTGAAGGAGGCGGAGGCGGAGGAGGAGGAGGAGGAGGACGAGGTGGAGGAGGAGGAAGAGGAGGAAGCGGAGGCGGAGTAGTAGTAGTAGTAGTCGTAGTAGTAGTAGTAGTAGTAGTAGTAGTAGTAGTAGTAGTCGTAGTCGTAGTCGTAGTCGTAGTCGTAGTCGTAGTCGTCGTTAGTAGTAGTAGTAGTAGTCGTAGTAGTAGTAGTAGTAGTAGTAGTAGTCGTACGTAGTAGGAGTAGTCGTACAGTATAGTTAGTAGTTAGTTAGTAGTTAGTAGTAGTAGTAGTAGGAGTAGTAGCAGTAGTAGTAGCAGTTAGCAGTAGCAGTAGCAGCAGTAGGAGTAGGAGTAGGAGTAATAGTAGTAGTAGTAGCCGTAGTAGTAGTAGTAGTAGAAGAGAGAAGACGTAGTAGTAGTAGTCTAGTTAGTAGCGAGTAGTAGTAGTAGTAGCGTAGTAGTAGTAGTAGTAGTAGTAGTAGTAGTAGTAGTAGTAGTAGTAGTGTAATAGTTGAAATAGAAGTATTATAGTAGTAGTAGTAGTAGTAGTCGTAGTCGTAGTCGTAGTAGTCGTAGTAGTAGTAGTAGTAGTAGTAGTAGTAGTAGTAGTAGTAGTAGTAGTAGTAGTAGTAGTAGTAGTAGTAGTCAGTAGTAGTAGTCGTAGTAGTAGTAGTAGTTCGTAGTAGATCGTAGTAGTCGTAGTAGTAGTAGTAGTAGTAGTAGTAGTAGTAGTAGTAGTAGTAGTAGTAGTAGTAGTAGTAGTAGTAGTAGTAGTAGTAGTAGTAGTAGTAGTAGTAGTAGTAGTAGTAGTAGTAGTAGTAGTAGTAGTAGTAGTAGTAGTAGTAGTAGTAGTAGTAGTAGTAGTAGTAGTAGTAGTAGTAGTAGTAGTAGTAGTAGTAGTAGTAGTAGTCGTAGTAGCAGTAGGAGGAGGATGAGGAGGAAGAGGAGGAGCAGGGCGCCCAGAAAAAAGGCCACATGCCTCTTGGATGCCGCTAGGAGTCTCTATTGATGTCTCATGAGAACTTTTACGTGTCCTCTTGGGGCATCTTTAGGGGCATCTTGGTGGTCCTGGGGACCTCGTAGAAGCGCCGCGGGAATCAATGTGGTACCGCTTTTGCTGCTGCAGGAGTAAGGCCAAGGCTGCGGCGAAGGCGTCGTTCCCTTGGACGGGTGCCCTACGAGGATCATAGCGTGTGGCGCACATTCTGTTACGCAATCTGCTGCTGATGCAGGAATCCGTCTGCGCGCGGCGCTACGGCGAGAGCCACATTTTGAAAGCCACCCGCCCTCCATGAAGCTGTTACAGCCTTTTAGCTTCTGGGTCGTACATGTGTGCTGTGACGAGTTATCGGGCGAAGCACCTGGCCCGCCCTACCGCCACGTCTCGGGGTGCTATAGGGAGGAGCTGTCTAGACGGGCAAGGGATGGGGGGGATGAGGACGACGGTACTGAGGAGGAGGACAAGTGCGGACCAGGACCAGGAATAGGAGGAGGAGCAGGAGCAGGAACAGGAGCAGGATGAGGAGGAGGAGGCGCAGGCGGAGGAGGAGGCGGCGGAGGCGGAGGAGGAAGATAATAATGATGATGAAGATGATGATGATGATCATGATGATGATGATGATGATGATGATGATGATGATGATGATGATGATGATGAGGATGATGATGATGCTGGTGATGATGATGATGCTGATGCTGATGCTGATGCTGCTGATGATGACGATGATGATGATGATGCTGATGCTGATGATGATGCTGCTGATGCTGTTGATGATGATGATGATAACGATGATGATGATGATGCTGATGCTGCTGATGATGATGATGGTGATGATGATGACGATCACCATAACGACGACGATGATGCTGATGATGATGGTGATGATGATGCTCATGATGATGCTGATGCTCATGATGATGATGATGATGATGATGATGATGCTGATGATGATGATGATGATGATGATGATGATGATGGGGATGATGATGATGATGATGATGATGATGCTGATTATGATGATGATGATGATGCTGATGATGATATTGCTGCTGCTGATGATGATGCTGATGATGATGATGATGGTGGTGGATGATGATGAGGAGGATGAGATGATGATTGGGATGAGGAGGAGGAGGAGGAGGAGGAGGAGCATGCGGAGGAGCATGATGATGATGATGATGCTGATGATGGCGATGATGGTGATGATGATGATGATGCTGATGATGATGATGATGATGATGATGATGATGATGATGATGATGTAGATGATGATGATG